TTTTTTAGGACGCCCAGCAACTGGTGACGGCCATCAGCCGCGCCGCCATCGACATGCTCCTCAAGTGTCTGTCGTTGGAGCTAGGGCCGAAGCGGGTGCGCCTCAACTCGATCAAGTAAGAAGGTTTTGGAGTTCTAAAACTTTTGGGTTTTAAATCTCTTTCTTCTTTTCTTTATCTTAACCAGCCACATCCCCGCTCCAAACGCCTCAACAGCCTTTGTCCCCGCCGGCCTCGAGGTGAACCAGTCGCTGATGGACGCCTTCGTCGCCCAGACGGAGTCGGTTCACAGTCCCGGAAAGCGACTTCTACGGGGCGAGGACGTCGCCGCCGCCGTCCTCTACCTGCTGACGCCGCGCTCCGCCTTCCTCAACGGCGCCAACCTGGTCATCGACGGCGGGCAGACTCTCTAAACGAAAAGAAAAGAAAACACGTCTTTTTTTCAAGAAAAGATCATCACCAGCTTCTGTAATAATAATTATGCAAACCTACAATGATGGCACTGCTGTGAAGAACTAAAAGCTAAAAACGGGCTAAAAACTACTACTACAGCACAAAGAGAAGGCAATAAAATCACTAAACACTTGGTCTTCAGAAACAACAACATCTCAACAGCAACCTCCTCCTCAAGTGCCAACCCCCTCTAGGTCCCCGTCAAAAAGTCCGCCACCAGGCCGTTAAACTCCTCCGCGTAGCGCTGGTGAATGTTGTGCTTCCCCTTGGGAAAGCGGTACAGCGTCGCATTGCCAATGTTGTTCACCAGGTGGACCGGGTGCTCGCCGCTGATCATCGGATCGAGGTCGCCATGGAGGATCAGCACCGGACAGCTAATGGCCCCCAGATCGGCCTTGCAGATGTCGTCCAGTCGCATGTAGTGGGCCACTAGGCGGTCCCACAGCCGCCGGAAGTACTCCTCGCCGTAGATGGCGGTGCAGGCCTGGCGGAAGGCGGGCGACCAGTCGGTGGCGGGGTTCCGTACCCGGTGCATCGCCGCCCGGTCCTCCTCGTTGACGTACGCATTCGCCCCCCAGATGATCAGCTTCTGCACGGCGGAGCTGCCGGCGCCGGCGGTGAGGATCATGCCAGTGATGCCGCCGTCGGACCAGCCCAGTACCGAGTACCGGTGGTGGTTTAGCTTCTATTTAAGGAGGGGAGGGGAAAGGTTAGGTTAGGTGTTAGGTTAGGTTTTAGAAATTCGAACACCGCCTAAGCGCCGCTTACTTTCATCAACTTGGCCGCCATCGCCGCGTCCGTCCGGTAGAAGTCGTTAAAGTCCTTCTCCGGCGGCCGAGACTGCCCGTAGCCGGGCGGGTCCCAGGCGACCATGGTGAACTGCTCGCCATCGAGGCCGCGCAGCTGGTGCTCAAAGTCGCCGCGGCCGGTGCCGATGGCTCCGGGGAGAAGGAGGAGGACGTGCGGCCCACTTCCGGCCACCTCGTAGTGCAGCACCTGCCCGTCGATGGTCACCTGGTGGCTGGTGATGGTGTTCTTGTTGTTGTTCGGAGTTGAGGATTGGTTTGAAGATCCATTTGAGGAGGAGGAGGAGGAAGAGGAGGAAAAAGATTGCGCCGAAGTCTGTGGAGAGGTGGAAAGGTGGCGAAGACTGTGCTGAAGAGTTGGTGAGTTTGTTGTGGTGGTGGTGGTGTTGAGAGAGTGTGACGTGGAAAGAGAGGAGTTTGTTGTGAGGGTTTTAAGTGGTGAAGACGAAAGTCTATGAATAAAAAAGATTAGCTTTTGAGAGCGATTTTGATGTTGTTTACGAACCTGAGGATGGACCTTCGCTTCGGTGAAGAGGAGCTGAAGCTTCTGCAGAGGTTGCTGCTGCTGCTTTCAGTTTTCAGGGCCCTTTTAGCTAGAGCACGCCAGAGCAGCGAAGCTGAGCTGCTGCTCAGGAAGTTGTTGGTGGCCATCTTAGTGTTGGTCCGGGTAATCAAATCACCGCTTCGATTTTCGCTTCACCTTTCAAGCAGGATAGTCTCGAAGTTCATCTAAAAAATTAAGCAATCAGCTTCAATAACATCCTCGATCTCGCATGTAACACTCGTACCTGATGGAGAAGAAGATGAAAGATCGCTCTGAAACGGCANAGGATAGTCTCGAAGTTCATCTAAAAAATTAAGCAATCAGCTTCAATAACATCCTCGATCTCGCATGTAACACTCGTACCTGATGGAGAAGAAGATGAAAGATCGCTCTGAAACGGCAGCAGTTGAAGAAGAGAGAAGCTTGTTTACGCGACGACGTCTGCTTCGGATTTTTGTGTTGTTTACTCTCGCTGGTGAGAGATGACGCGAGAGAGTGATGGTGATGGTGGTGGTGAGTTGCTAGGGGCTGCAATCACCCTCAGAAAGATGCACTTAAAGACAGAGGCAATCTAAAGCAAAAGGATGAGGTGATAAAGAAAGAAGGAGATAATGGTCCGTCTTTTCTGGTAGAAGAAGACGATTTGCAGAAGATGCTGATAAAGATCGGCAAAAAGGTCAAATGCGAGAAGCATTGCCCGCGCCTGCAGTGTGGGGCTGCAAAGTCTGCAGGGGCGGAGCTTCGCTGTACTGCCCAAAGGCGCAAAAGGGAAGGCCCACTTTTCTAAAAGTCCAGCAGCAGCT